GGTGACGGTGTCCCCAGCCGCCCCCTCTGTGGCCCCAGTCAGGACGTCCCCACCACTCCTGCTGGTCAGCACTTTCCAGTGGGTCATCTGCAGGAGGCTGCAGATCGGCCTCGGTCGCATCAGCCAAAGCCCGTAGAGCAGGTGAGTCAACCGCGAAGGCGCTCGATGTGGCGAGGGCCGCAGCGACGACGAAACCGGCGATCTTCATGAGTCTCGACAGCGGATGCTTGGGGCTCTTCTTTCTTGAAGGCAACTTGCGTTGTGAGACTAGCGAAGCTATAGCAGCTTCGCTGTCAAGATTTGTCCTTGCAATTCGAAGAGCGTGCTGGGACACTGCCTCTATCAAGTCAAGCACGTTGATTAATGCGAAAAACTGCTAATGAAATCTGAAAGTCAATACTTGTGCGACAAGAGCTGGTTTCAGTTTTTGCCGGATTGGTTTGTTGAAGCCTGAGTTTCCAGTGACGAAGCATTATCACAAGCTCTAGCTAACTTATTTGAAAAAGAAAATCTTGAGAATATCAATCGACTCTTTAAGTCTCTCAACACTATAGTATAATACAGAACGTTATCAATACTTGTCACCAGAGTATCGATGCGCCGCCCAAAACTGGCATATGTCAGCTTTCGATTGTTGAGAGACATAGCATTCCATCCGGTCTTAATAAACGCCGCGGAGTTATACCAGCTGTGCATCCTAACCTCAGGCATCTGCTCCATCTTTGACATACATGTACATCAGAAATCATCACCTGTGCACATTTTAAATTTTGAGCCTGCATACGACCCCCCCCCCTATGCCAATTTTGGGCGGCGTCCAATGGAGGGCTACGGTAGTTTGCCCTACAATGATAGCACCGTACTGTACATGAAGCATGTAAAAAGAGAGCTTAATTAGACTCCGCAAATAGGTTTGAAGATGGTCGATTACTTTCTGAAACGCTGTTTTACTTTACTTAAGAACTGCGTTACAAAGAAACAGGATTCTTATATAAACAATGGTGAGTATAGGCTAAAACGGAAATGGGACCTTTCTGCAAATTGCGAAGGAGACCAGAAAAAAGGTGACCTTTTTTTATTCTACCATATTGCAATTATTGCACATCTTCTTTATCTAAGGCTTGGTATGTTGTAATGGACACTTCGTAGACAGAGATAGCATCTCATAAATATAAACTTGCTCTTACTCCTACTGCTGCTTATTAGAATCGATATGCAGATAGGGAATATCAGTACTATCCGTAAGTACCATTAATTCAGAGATAATAATACATACATATTATCTTGTTGCTAGACGATGTGAAAGAGCTTATTGTAAATAGTTTTGATCTAATTTGACGAAGGGGACATTCTGGTGGCAAAATTATTATATCGCAAGCTTTTAGTCATGTAGGTGAAGTAGAAGTGCCCATGTTGAGTTGCGGAAGTAGTGAAGGAAGTTGCAACCCGGAATTACGTTTATCGGACACCGGTCTACCACTGTCTGGCCGCTTAGTACACAAAAGTGTTTCAACTGCGGGATGCGTGATCAGGGATCGCAGAGCTGAGAAACAGCTACGTGTACCTTTGAAGCACAATCGAGCTGAAAACGAGCGTATAAAATATTCCAAGTAAAGCAATATATCCTACTTCCGATTTTCGTTTGCTTGAAATCGCTTCACGAAGATTCGCGTGGACCAAGAGTGACCAGAGTAGATTATCGTAGAGCGCGATATATATGAATCAGTGTGCGGCGCAATCACCCAGCTTCACTGGCACATTGTTCAATCACCGCGCCGCTTTCCCTCTCGCATTGCCATTGCTCATCCTTGTTGTAGCGATTATCTAGCGAACGCACCAAGGGAGAGAATAGAAGATTAGTAGAGCACGAGAAATAGGCGTCGGTGCACCGTGCTAGCGGAGTAGCAGAAAAGTGCTACCGGTAAAAGGCAAGTATGATACTATCAGCTATTTTAAATACTACTATAATATTATAAATTCTCGTTTGGGTATTAGTAGTACTAGCCAACGTACGGTAATGCGGGTGTATAGTACTATAATACTATACAAACACTACCGGTAATGAAATTATACAGATACCTAAATGTTTTCAATTACAATTGTAATCACAAGTTCTTCAACCGCGTCTTGGTTTTGACACCCACGAGAAATTCATCACGCACCTTTCGCCAACGCAACACAATCCGTGACAACGATTATAGATAAGGCTCGACATACGCCGATGCTTGTAATTCTTTTCGACAAACGCCACTCGAAAGAAGCCACCTACGACGAAAGGCATTGGCCGGGGCCTCCAACCGATGTAGTATTACACACACGGCACGATCTCTCAGAGCGTGCTCTAAGCCACACTCCCTAGAGTACAAAGTAAAGCTACCGTCTTCAACGTCACCATCTTGCTGTGACTACGACCCAAAATCACAAAAGATCAAGCAGTGCCAGCATCATGAGATGATCCACTCAGCCACTGCATATCGAAGGTCTCGGACTTGCAGTTCAGCTCCATGGATTGTGGGACGCAGCAAAGTCTCACTAGCGCACAACTCGCTGGTTCTTGCTGCGCTCGGCTCGTTCTGTGCTGCAGTTGCTGGCATGGCGTTGTTGCTATTAGTCTATAGAGCAATGGCAAATTCTGGGAAAACCTCCCAGTGACTCATCTGCATTAAGCAAACGGGCTTGAGTTAACGCAGCGTCCCAAACGCACGAGCCTTGAACTTAGACAAGCTCACAGCGCAATTTGCCAAGTCAAAACTCCTAGCACCCCGTTAAAATTCATGAAGATCATCGCACTCGTCGTCGCAGCAGCCCTCGCTACAACGAGCGCCTACGAGGCTGACACACCTGCTTTACGAGCTCTGGCTGATGTGACTGAGGAGACCGAGGCACCCGCGTCAGATACCCCGACGGAAGGCGACGACCAGCAGGAGTGGCGCTGGGGTCGTCGTTGGGGAGGCGGTTGGGGACGCCCTCGTTGGGGAGGTGGATGGGGACGCCCTGGTTGGGGAGGAGGCTGGGGGCGCCCCGGTTGGGGAGGAGGCTGGTGACGCCCTGGTTGGGGAGGAGGCTGGCGACGCCTGCCGTTGTGGTGGTACGCCCTGGCTGGTAGGGAGGTAGCCACCCAGTACGGGAAAAGCAAGGTTGAGCACGAGAGACTACATTCCACGCGAGAAGAAAACTAGTGCAAAGTCCCATTGCCTCCATCGTAAATGTCCCCCCTCCTTCGTTTGAATTCGCCCATGCTGTCTTCCGGACCCGGCGAGCTGAGTAGCGTTGTATTTAAGCACTTGCTTGAAAAATGGAATCCGAATAACTTTTGATGTAACTTTTACTCTTGACGCCTTTACTAGAACATAAAAGTTTGTGGGCTTCTCGATGCGCTTACCAACGTTGCTACCGCAATAGCGCGCCAAGAATCGTTATTATACCACATTCTCGTGCAAAATGCTGCCTCTTATGCCGTCGAATAAGCCGACCTCTGCTATATCCAGCAGAAGACACCACGTCCAGTTCTCCATTCCGTTTTAATCGAGCACCACCGACACAGCCGCTGCTAATTTTTCGGCATCTAGCGACTGATACATGTTTCCTCGACAGGTGTCTTAAAAGTGCCTTGGTTGGGTGAGCCACAAGGGGCAAGCGTCGACAGGTCTCACTATCACGACGCTCGTAGCGTCCGAACGTAATGGCTATGGTGCGACCTGCCCCAGACGCACGTCTCTCCATTTAACGCATTAGCCTTGCAATTTACAAACTGGATCAAAAACTTCAACACTGCGACCCTTCGGATATACGAGCATACGAGCATACGAGCACACAAGCACGGACTTTAACAGAATGGGCTTATCTCGGTTCATCATTAACCGTTTGTCAGCAAACGAGGTGAAACCGTACCTTTATCTTATGGACCGTCCTATATTAAAAAACGTGTACTCATATTTTGTGCACGCGCGGGTTGCCAGTCATTTTGTACGACCCCCTTTTGGTTTTGTGGCCTGCCATTTATTCTTTGGGACAAATTGGAAGAAAGAATATGGTGTCCTTGAAGCTTCAGAAGCGGTGCGTTAAGAGCTTCGTTTAATACAGGAAACAGGTCCACAGGTCTACGACAGAACGCCGTGCTGACGCTTGTGTTTTCCATTGCTGCAGTCTGGCTGCGTCCGTGCTCAAGTGCGGCAAGCGCAAAATCTGGCTCGACCCCAACGAGTCGAACGAGATTGCTTTGGCCAACTCGCGTCAGAACATTCGCAAGCTCGTGAAGGATGGCTTTGTCATCAAGAAGCCGCAGGTGATCCACTCGCGTGCTCGCTTCACCAAGCGTAACGAGGCTAAGCGCAAGGGCCGCCACACGGGCATCGGTAAGCGTCGCGGTACGGCCAACGCGCGTCTGCCGTTTAAGGTGATCTGGATGCGTCGTATCCGTGTGCTCCGTCGTCTCCTCCGCAAGTATCGTGAGGCCAAGAAGATTGACAAGCACATCTACCACGAGCTGTACATGCGCAGCAAGGGTAACCAGTTCAAGAACAAGCGTGTGCTCATGGAGACCATCCACAAGATGAAGGCCGAGCGTCACCGCGAAAAGACGCTCAAGGAGCAGTCGGAGGCTCGCAAGGAGAAGGCTAAGGCTGCCCGCGACCGCAAGGCCCAGAAGGCCGCTGTCCCCGCTGCGAAGAAGGACTAAACGTCTTCTTCTTCTTGTTGAGAAGTAGACTGATTGTTTAGGTCACTTGAAGGAATAAAACTCTTCCCGAAGATGCCCGCATCTTTTGTCCCACCAATATTGTTGCCTGCTCTTCTGTTTGGTACTCGTCATTTTGCAACTCCCAAATATCCACCTGCCACTGTATCGAGATACTGTAGTACAGTACTATACTTCGTAGTACATGCATGGGGCTCTTTACTACGTACATGTAGTACTAAAGACGGTCCTCTAAAGAGTCTTTAGAAGACGTATTTGTACTCGTACTTAAACGAATACAACTCTTGAGTTCAGTTTGGCGAAGATGGCGACCGACAGCTCCATCTCCAAGGCGAAGCTGCACGAGGTTCCATCGCTCTACGAGTTCCTGTAGCTGTATGCGATGATGTCTAACACCACTCTGTCGTCGCTTCCTTGTTGCAGACATTCGACGCATTGCCGAACCTCATTGATGTGCTCAAGGACGTGCTGTCGGCCAGCTCCACCCAGGAGACCATGAGAATTGGAGACATCTCGGCCTCGGTATGGAGGAGAAGTTCTTCTTGTACTACCTCTGTGATATTGACAGGTGTCTCGGTTTATTGAATGCAGGCGGTGTCAGTGAAGCAGAAGTACACGGACGCACTGGAGCTATTGCGCTCGCTGCCCGGCACCGACACCTCGCTAGAGGAGCAGGAAACAGCCATAGCAGATGCGAAAGTGGAGCTCAAGCGCATATCGTACGTTCCGAGTTAACTTTCCTGCTCTACAGTATCCTCGTGCGACGTTAAATTGACAAACTTACTGCCAACGCAGCGACGTCGTGGAGCTGTACAGCAACACGCTGTATCGCGGAACGGACGAGCCACGTGCCGAGATTAACGACGCCTTCTCCCGCAAGAGTCTTCTCAAGTGATCGACATGAACGACCTTGACAACCTCACCCAACGAAGTAATATATGGAGACCTTGTTGGTCATTTAAAAACACCCAGCTATGTTGCAGTTGCAGAAGATCATCCCGTCCTGTATTTATCCAAATGTTCAAGTGACTTTCTCTACCTAGTAGAGACCAAAGAAGCCCAGGAACTTCTTGGAGAACTCTACGCCAAGGAAGCAGGCGGCGTTGGCCGGGAATGCACGAGCCATAGCAGGCCCCACACCGTTGAAAAGCGCGCCAGGGCCCTCGTTCTTCATGAGCACCTGGAAGCAGTGCACGATGCCGCGGTACGTGCCCTCCGGAGCAGTCTGGATACGCGACTTGATCACATCGGGCGGGATCGCGATGACCCAGTTGATGATACCGGCAAAACCTCCCGCCACAAACACACGGAACGCGTTCAAGTCTGATGGATCTTTGCCCTTGGGCGTCAGACCGCGCTTGATTGCCTCAAAGCCGCCAAAGTATCCCACAGAACTGCAAAGGACGAGTCAGATATCAACAAGTCGCGATGGAACTCGAGGACTGTACTTACCCTGGAACATCACGCAGCAGAGTAGCTTCCCATCCGCGGAAAATACTCGAGAGACCACCAGTACGGTACAGTTTCTTGGCACAGTCGACCATACCGTCGTACAGCTTGGGCTCACCGCGCTCAACTGCTTGCGCCTGGATCTGGAGCAAGCACTTGATGCGCTCGCCAGGCGCCATGACCACAGTGGCTGGGATGGCCGAGAAGCCACCAGCAAACATGATCTGCCCCATGGACAGTGGCGTCGTCGGTGACTGACCCGACGACTTGATCTGTAGGCAGTTCACAAGAACAATGCACTTGGTTAGAACACACTGGGAATAGCGCAAAGAGGAGACTCGAACATGGTACTCACGGCAATGAGCTTGCCCATGTCGTAGCCCCAGAAGCACGTGGCGAAGATCGGGGTGACACCCACTAGAGGTGCCGACATTCCACGGTACAGACCGCGAACCTATAGATGAAATAAGGATCGAATACCATAAGCATCTTCCTACAGCTTCCACAAGCTCACTCGTAGACGTACCCCGTCCTTGGCGATCATTTTGCGGGCGCAGTCGACCGCGTTGGAGTACATGGGCGGCTCACCAGGAAGTGCCTTCGGCTGCGTCTGCATGTTGACCTTGATGAGGTCCAGTGGGTGACCAGTTGCCACAAGACACACTCCTGAAATGCGCAGATACACAGTTAGCACTTCGATTATCGAGACCAAAGCGAAGTATATGACACTGTATACAAGTCACACGCACCGCCGAAGCCACCGGTCACGAAGGATACCAGACCCGACGTCGCTATAGACAGAGGAGAAGAGGGACGAAATATTAGCTCCAATTCTAGGTCGTCGAGTGCCACGGCAAATTAACATAAGCCAGGAGTATTGAAGCCACGTACGTTTGTTTGTCGCTGCTTCCTCGCTCATCGTTTCGGGAATAAGAAGGCTTTGTGTCAGGTTCTGAGGCCTTTGGTGCGGATTGAGAACTGCGGTGGACGCTTCACGTTCGGCTGTGTGTGGGAATCTGCCGTTTACGTGTGCAAGTTAAACTGAAGAGGTTGCGTACGTTGCTTCAAGTTGTCGCGTGACTTGGTTTGAGTAAGAGACTCGAGTGAAATGCAAGATCGCACCAAAATAAAGTTTTAGAGGTGAGATAATTAATACTAACTCGCGCTTTCATTGGCTATTGCGTTTCAGGAGCTGTAACTGTGCATGCGCACTTGCCACATTTCCTGTCACCGAACCGTGGACACAGCGTTTGTACATGCCCACGATCGGTGACCATGTAAATGTACTTCATCGTGGGGCTGAACGCGTTGCCTTGCCACACAGTCCATAACATCAACATCAGTTTAAATGTGTTTCTCGATTTGGCTATAACAACGGACGGCACAATGACTGCTTGGTCGGTGCTGCATCGGCAGGTGTTCACTGTTCGGCAGTTCACGCTCGGTGTGTCCACAAACGAATTTCGCTAATAATGGTAGACATATCGTGGGCTTCAGCAGCTAGACGAGTGCTCCGGGGCTCAGCGTGGTGGCAACGGAGCAAACGGTCACGTTGCAGTTTCAGATCAACATGCGGCAATATGCGAGCGCTAGGCAACCACTACCAAGCCGCATCCGTCGCAAGAGCTACCCGGATGATGCGTACATCGTGCAACTGAGGCTGGTCGAGCGTGAACGTGACTGCCAGCAAGCCGCTTGACTGGTTCTGGTGAACTTCACCGTGAAGGACCCGCCCAGCGCTTGGTGAGCCAGCTCTGCACCAGTGAGTGAGTCACTGGCAATTTTGCAGGGCCACTAACTTTCGTCCTCGCGTGAAGCCGGCGCACGATTCGCCGAAATGGGTTGCTGGATGCTGTAAGAAGGTCAGTATCTACCAATCATAAATCGCGGGTTTCTGGGTGGGCTACGTTTCGGTTCTTGCTTTTCTGCTCTCACTTTCCTTCTGCCGATGGCTCGATCATTGCTGAATTTGCCGTCTGGGGCGCAAGTGCTTTCCTGGCAGCTTTTCAGATAAGAAGACAGAGGCAAGTCTTTGAGAAAGACCCGCCCCTCAGCAACGCTGTCAACTAAGCGATACGTGCCTCTGCGAGCTTCCATACCAGCGTCGCAGTACATTGAACGTGTTCCCGACTCTTGCTTCTCTTTTGCTGCGTCCTTTCGTTCTCGAAGTCCTGTTTGTACCCGTGCATCTCATCAACAGCAACAGGCTCGCAAGTCGCTGACAACCCACACACACTGCCTGGCCCACGTAATGGAAGTGCAGGTTGACACGATGCCGATTAACCAGAGCTCCAAGAAGCGCAAAAGCGCCCTCAGCGCCGCTTCACCGATTGCACCGCGGGTGCCTGCGTGTGGACCCTTGTGCACGCTCACGACCGGGCCGCTAACCTCGACCGCGGTGTCTGACGCTGCTTACTCGTCATCGGACAGCGTCAACCTGTCGGCGGCTTTAACAGCGCTCAAAGTATCGCTCAAGCGCGACTTGGAGAGTTTTGCGCCTCCCACACCTGCCGTGTCGCCAGCCCATGGGCGCGGCCCGGCTAAGCGCGCTCGCTTCGATTTCGAATTCATCGAGGAGGAGTCGGAACCAGAAGCGGAAATTCAACAGCGAGTCAAGACCCCTGCTGCTGGTCCGCCCAAGACTGTGAATGCGCTGCTGGCCGTCAGCAGTCGCATCAAGTTCGAGCTGGAGAAACGTCGCCGTCGCGATCGCGAACGTGCGCAGAAACCCCGTAGACGAAAACAACTGAGCTACTTCGCTATTGTGGGGGCATTTCAGCGCGCGGCCCACGAGCGCGAAGTCGCATTGCAGGTCGAGTGCGTCGTAGAGGCATCGACGGATTAACAACACATCGTCGAGCACCAGCAGCTGGTAGTCGGACCTACCGACCAACGGAGACACGTCTGTCATTCCTGCCCACCACTCCATGTGGCCTCGAGCATTTTGATCTATCTATTCGAGCCACGTTTTCCTGTGCATATAACTATCGTACCAATACAGAAATATACCATACTCGCGAATTGGGAGGGACTCTCCCAATTTCTACTTGATAAACCACCGAACGGTGGTCTGCATCCCCGCAAGACCACAGGCAGCAAGCACATGTCGCGACATTGTCCGGACATCCTTCGCCACCTGGTCACGCCATTACACGCACTAGCGTGGCGACGCTCAAGCATGTCACTCGCAGACTGTGTGGTCAGGCGATGGCGTGCCGTCCACGCGAAACCGGCCAAGCCCCGTCACAACAGCGCTGGGAAAGCAGGCGACTTGACCTGGCGAGTGTCACTGTCAGTGTATTCGGTTCATCTTGTGCCACTCAAGTCCAATTTTTGGCATCATGTTACGCTCGGAATTGCATGAGGTGAGGAGAAATTGCAGTTTACGTACTGGACATGAGCTAATCGTTAATAGGCCCTGACGCTACTCGGAACACCACTTTGCAATTTATGGACACTCCACCACTGTGATTGGCTATATTTCTTCGCTTGCTTCCTTGATTGGACCATTCATAGAGCTTAGATTAGGATGAAGTCGAGCTTATAGCCAGCCATCCTTCGTCTATCACATTGACCACCATGAGCGTCATCGTCGCCGAAGCCGAGAAGCGCACGCAGACATATCTGCCAAAGATCGAGAATGGCCGGACGCTGACAGCCACGTCGCTGGCCGCGCTCAGCAAGGAGTTGCCAGCCTTCAAGCAGATCACGGGCAAAGTACGCGACGTGTATGTGTTCGAGGACCGCGTGCTGTTGGTGTCCACTGACCGCCAGTCGGCCTTTGACCGCGCATTGGCTTCAGTGCCCTTTAAGAGTCGCGTGCTGACGCTCACGAGCGTCTGGTGGTTCAACCAGACCAAGCATATTGTGGCCAACCACCTGCTTGGTGTGCCACACCCGTCCGCCATGCTCTGCAAGAAATGCACAGTCTTCCCTGTGGAATTTGTGGTGCGTGGCTACATCACGGGCTCCACGAGCACGAGCATGTGGACCAACTACAAGAACGGTAGCCGCGACTTCTGCGGCCACAAGCTCCAGGACGGCTACAAGCAGCACCAGAAGCTGCCGCAGAACCTCGTGACGCCCACGACCAAGGACGACGAGCACGACGAGTTGATTTCGGGAGTCGAGATTGTCAGTAGCGGCCGCATGACCCAGGAGCAGTGGGACTACTGCGAGAAGAAGACGCTCGAGCTGTTCGCCTTCGGTCAAGAGCAGGCGGCTAAGCGCGGATTGATACTCGTGGACACCAAGTACGAGTTCGGCTATGACGAGGCCACGGGTGAGATTCTCCTTATCGATGAGATTCACACGCCCGACTCCAGTCGCTACTGGCTGGCGGACTCGTACGAGCAGCGCATGGCTGAGGGCAAGTCGCCTGAGAACATCGACAAGGAATTCCTCCGTTTGTGGTTCAAGGAGCGATGCGACCCCTACAATGATGCCGTCCTTCCGGAGGCCCCCAAGGAGCTTGTGAGCGAGCTCTCGCGCCGCTACATTCTGCTCTACGAGCTCATCACCGGCTCAGAGTTCGAGTTCCCTGCCGTTGAAATCAAGCCCGAAGACGAGCTGGTCGAGGGCGTCCGCAAGACTCTGTTGTCTCAGTAGACTCAGCAAGGTCTCTCAGATCTAATACATTTTGCAGGATCTGTTTTTACGAATTACTTCCTAGGTGACGATGGGGATCCTTGTGTTTCTCTCCTGCCTACTGACAGCGAATTCGTGGCCCCGTTCCCTTCACGGCTAGACGACGGTGGAGCTGGTGCTGGGGTTACCGACGCCGTTGAAGTCACCGCAGAAGCTCCTTCATGACCGACAGGTAGCACTGATGCTTTTGAGCGCCGCGGTGACGTAGGACAAGAGCCCGGATTGGGCTGCTTCTTCGTGCATACAAGAGCCACGTTATGTTGCTGGAAGAACTCAGCAGTTTCGCTTGGACTGGGATTTTTGGCCCAGCGAGCCTTGAGGTTGCGAGCTTTCTGACTTCGATGAATAAACACCAACATCATTGTAGCCGCGCGCAGTCTCCTCATTGGACTGAGCTTCTGCATGTCACGATGAGCTAGCTTAACCACTCCACTGATTGTGATGAGCGCGCCAAGCGAGAACATACCAAGTGCGAGTGGTGCCATCTTTGCAAATTCTTTAAAGTACACACCACCGCCGAAGATGGAGATGGAGATGAAGAAACATTGGAATACAGGCACAACAAACACGGCATCAAACTTCTGCAGGCCGTGGGCGAGCCAGTGGATCTGCAAAAAGACGCAGGTGAGCATGCTGACCGTGATAGCATAGGGACCAAACGTCACGAATTGGTTGTCACCCTCGATTGTTGTCTTCATAAGCTCGGCCATCGACTTGGCAAACAGCACAGACTGTGCACCAAATATTCCAGACAGAGCTGGGTAGCTGACCGGATGGAGCTTTCGAAAACGCTGGTATTCAGGCGACATCCTCCCTTTTTGTTTGAGTGTGAGCTCCATCTTCTTTGTCAGCAGATAGAGTGTGAGGCACGAAACGCCCATAAGCGTCGCGTACACCGCAAAGAGCGGCTCTCGGTAGAGTGCAATTAGTTCGTCGACGGTATAACACGCGCTCTCCTTTTCAGCGAATATAGCGACGACGATGATACCGAGCAACACGAGTGCGGTGCCAATAGCGTCGGACTTAGTGAACTTCTCCTTGAGCAACAGCGACGCGAAGGCAACATTGGCAACCATCGTCGATCCACCAACAGGCGTAGCAAGGGACTGGGGCATGAAACCTAGCGCTACGAAGTCTAGGATGCTGCCGCCGACCACGAGAAACAGCCCAATCACCCACAGCGGCTGACGGAAGTAGCCTCGCTTGTCGCCAACGCTGCGGCCTTTGGCTTCACGCATGAAGGAGAATTTCTGCAGGTTCACACCCATGTTGGTGCAGATTGAGCCGACGACTGTCAGAATCACGCCCACATACCAGAGCCCATTGGACTTCTCTTTATGTTCGCCACAGCCCATGGCTGGCTCTTCGTGCGGGAGTTAATCGAAGGTGACGATGCTTTCGGTTCTCTTGTTTTCTCACAGCATGATGCATTTAGAATTATATTTATAAGTAAACTCCGCCAGCAATAGCACTGTGATGCCGGTGACATCTTGATTTTTGTAAGCACCAAGTTGAAGTCGAAAGTAGCCATCTGCATTATCGGCAGCTTCACCTTATTATCGTGACATAGACTGCATTGAGTGCTTGCTTTGCTGGGCAAAATGAGCTGAACCAGATCTGCTGAAGCGACGCGAAACTTTGACCAAAGATGCCCCATGTCTATTTGACATGGAGCATTTTTTCCTGTTGAAACGCCATATAGGTTAGCGCTGAGAAATGAAGATAACATAATAGTATCTGGTTGGAACCGGTTACTTTATACTACAGTAATATTAAAAAGTGGGACTTCTGTACATTTAGAATCTCGACTAGAGATTTTCAATTTTGCCATTTTCAATTTTGCCAAGTTCCTGGCAGAGAGATGAAGTCGATGAATCATCCGATAAATGCTGAATCCCATTGCGTGTCACTGCAGCAATCAGTTCTATTGTTCTGGATCTTCCCGACACAGAGTAGAGCTAGTTATAAATCCACTTGCACTTCATGTCATTTTATTCCCGAGGAATTGCATCCATTACTACGATCTACTACTACTTACTGGTGCCTATTTTAACACTACGCTATGACATCAATCTTCCCACTTCAGTGTACACCGCTGTTTTTCAGCACAGAATGGACTGAAGAGACATTGGCACACTGGCCCGGCGAGTACTGAGACGCTGAGTGGCTCAGCAATCCAATCTTGTTGCACCGGCGGCGAGACTTCGGGCGAAGCAGCAGTCCCACTCGAAGCCTCTTCGTCGGACAGAGCGGCTTGCACCGTAGAGGATGCCGCTGCTTTCCTGCGATTCCTGGCACGGTTGCCCCGCTTGACCATCTCTTCGGTAGCGGGGGAGGCCAATCGCCCAGCCGAAATGCCCTTAGCCGCCGTGTTGGGGTCTTGCATGATGCACTCGAGCGTATACTCGAAGGCAGCGATCTTTTTGGCAATGTACTCTTTGTTGGTGCCCTTTGCCACACTCAACGACTCGCGCAGCATGTCAATGCTCTTCTGCAGGCTGCGGATCTGGCGATGCGGCCAGCGTTGGATACCGTAACGACGACAGATCTTCTTGAGTAAGGTGGCACAGATGCCGAACTTGCGCGCGACGGCGGCAATAGGCATGTTAAAGCACTCTCTCAAATCCTCGAGCTGCACCACTGGGCCATAGCGTTTGCTGCCGCCACGGGGTGTGACTGCGATTGACTGTGAAGGAGACGGAGCTGGCGCAACAGCGGAGGGAGGTGCAGGATACAGCGGTAATTTGTAGGCCATTGGGCTCACATGACTGAAGGCGTCGAAGCTGAAGATGTCGGCGGGGCTGTCGGCACCAGAGGGAGACGTAGAGGGAAGTGATACTTCCACACTCAGACCAGTCATCTTACTACGGTAGCTGGGCTGCAGCGGCTCGAGTTTGACGAGCTGAGTCTTCGTGGGCGCAGGGCTATCCCGCTTGAGCGACATAAGGATCTCACCCATGAGCATATCGTCATCACTTAGTGAGGATGGTGCCATTGTTGCCATTGTTGGTGCTGTAGCGGTAGGTCGACTGATGTGCCACGAAGAAGGCAGATACCGTTGTGACCGGCAACGGTGTGGCCATTTTGGCGACAGGTGGGCGGGAATCGAGTGGCGCGTGCGAGTAGATTCCATTTTTTGCCAGTTTGACTGGTTTTCAGTAAGACTGACGGGAGCAGACGCTAAACTTCAAAAACCCTTAAGGATGGATACGGGAGCAGCTCGGATCAGACCAATACAAAACTCAGGTTAAATGACCTGTCATAACTAATCGCGAAAGGTTGAAGGGAGCTGCGCATCCCCTCCGCATCCCTTCACCGCACTTGTGTCGACATTCGCACGACCCTCCTGCGACAGCGCGTCCCTTCGGACACGTGGCGAGATCTTTTCGCAGCTGCAGCAGAAAGCACTCCCCTGCGGTCATCGCTATGAAATGACCTTGGCACTGCGGCTCGCAGTGCGACGGCTGCAGCACTCGATGTGTGGGCAATTTTGAATGTGTCGTTGCCCACGTCACATGCCAATTGCTTCCACTAGTCGTCTGTCCGGCAGACGGCGAAAGTCTCCACTGAGACGGTGAATTGACGCCACATATCATACCGAGTTTGCAAGGTCTGTAGTATTGACTTGCGTTTCAGCTGAATTTGGTCGCGTCAATTTGCAACTTCAAATCCGACTTCACACTGTGGAGTTGGATTTTTGGTGGACCACACTGTAGAGTCGGCGTCGGCACTTGTATTTATAACAAGTCCTTACATGTATTAATTACTCAACAAGTCTTGTTGAGTTAGGATTTGCAGCATTTTAATGTTTTGCTCGAGTTTTGTGGTCTTTATACTAAGAAGTACTGTACCTATAGCGGATAATGTCGATGATTAATAATAAAATTTAGATGTGGACGCCGCCCAAAACTGGCATAAGCCTTGTGCCTTTTAGTAAGGGGGTGATATGCAATCTCTAAATTTAGGTTGATGGCCCGCAAGCCGATGCCCCCGAAATAAATTGCAATAACTCAGCAAATATCTGATCGAGTAAAAAAAACGCAAGTACCTATTGATAGCTCGCGATCAGCTATCCTGTCGATATTTAAAGCTTCTCAGAGGCATTTTAATAAAAGTATTTTCTTTTAAGTATTTTAGCGCCCCGATTGGAGTCCACCAAATCGCGCATCCGACCAGATTACCGCAGCCAAACATTTAGGGAATTGTAGAGCGCAAATTCTCATTACCATTCTTGCCTTCTCGTCCAATTTAACGTTCATTTGACAAACAGCCGAGGCTAATGCGATACAAACAGCCTTATCATATTAATCGGGATGTTACTGTTTTATTGAGCTAGTAACGATTTTCGTAATGCAGATAAATAGATTCTCTGAAGCGACTTTATGACTCTAATAAGACACATCAACGAGCTCGCGCCAAGTAGGACGAACTCCGCAAGCGGCTGGAAAAGCTGAAGGGCGTGCGCAAGCACAAGAAGGTAAACGTAGGACTATATGGGAGGCATGAGAATGAAAACGAAGTGGAGGCTTAAAAGTTAAACCAAATTCTATTCGAGTTTATAGCTCGATAGGCAGGTCGAGAAGAAGAAGAGAGAAGAAGAAGAAGTTACTTGTAGGCGTCAAAAGACGAAGTGAGCACTTTTCTAGTCTTAGGAAGCCACTTGTAGCTGCACACCAGCCATTATTGTTAAAATATTTTAAGCCATTCATTACGGCTTAAGCAGGACCTCCTAAATCTCATTTTAATGTCTTAGAGAGATTCTTTCAAGGTAGTCATACTGTTTAGAGGCGACTTCAACAACCTCCCTGCCTCTGAACATATTTATCAAACTGCCAATTCTATGTTATAACAGAGATAGAGCTTTCTTTAAAGGACATTTCCTCAGTCCTTGAAACGCCACCAAGGAAGTTGTTTAGGCAAGCCGATCCGACTTTGCCCTGTTTTCCGCAAGGGAAAAGGGACAATAAGCGACACGGCTGTAGAGCTCAAGGATGGAGCCCAACGTGCCATCTGTACCTGCCGCTGCTACAAAGCAGGCTCCCTCGCGAATGACAAAGAGAAAGAAGAAAAAGACAACAGGGAAGCGACTACGTGCTCGAAAGAAGGTACGAGAGGCTGCTCGAGCTGCTGTCACGCACACTGCGACAGTCGTATCGTGCACTACATTTCTCAAGCCGTTTCAGAGGCTGAAGCAGGTTCTGAGACTGGGCGACCAGCTTCTGATGCTACGCCAGAAGGTTTAATCGCTATATTAGCATCAATAGAGGCTATTTAGGTGGACGCAAAGAGCGCTTTGTGGTGTAGTGATTTCTCCGTGGTTGCGGATTATCATTCGTCGACAAAGACGTGACACCGCCCAAGTTGTTCAAGCGACGAACCCTCGGTCGGGTGATGTACGGAGACGCCAAGGTGCAAGGGACTCGACGGCGTCACCTCCGAGTTTTCAACAAATATCGGATACGGCCCTATGTCACTGAATCCAGGCTGTCCTTATTATTAATAATGGACTGGCCGGATTTGCATTCAGCGGACCATCTACGGTACGAACCCTCAGTGGCGGTTGGGATGAGTTCGCGGAATACTCAGCGACCTTTGGAAGACACGTTCACCGTCTGGGACAGGGCGCGGACCGTTAAAGATGCTCATGCGACAGTGCAGACGACGCTTGGCATGCAAGAAGATCCATAACGGATCATTGTTCACTTGATATTTGTATACTTGATTAGGACTTCTTATTAGGAATAGACCCAAAAGGGTAAGCTTAAATACAGAGCAGAATTTCCACTCAAGCACACAGAGCGACGTCCGGCTTCAAGGTAAGCGTCAGGTCAAGCTTGTTTGAGTGTTTTATGCCTGTCGGTGAGCTCGAAGCTCTGTAGCGAGGGTTCATCCGGCAAGGCCAAGAGACTTTGTGTATTGGCCGATTATTATCGGGAGGTTTTACGTGACGGCTTATTGTTGCCTATTTGCACGACTGGGAGTGCTTGAATTGCCTCCCTTTTATTTCTTCCAGCCGAGTGTTGAACACTCGGTGATCTCGTAAAAGGCTTACCCGTGCCTGGTACCCTTCCGCTGTTGGGACCACGAGGATTCAAAACACCTGCTAGCTTTGCTCGTGCTAGTAGCGTGTTCTTATTTTACTGGTTGACCTATATAAGTAGTTTACAAGGTCCAGTTTGTCCCGGTGCAAGGGCAGAACTGGGGTCTTCAGGTCCGCCCGAACGATCGTTTACTATCCTAGTAGACGTATTGTTGTGGGAACATCCTAACTACATGTGTAGCTAGAGTTCACGTGGGATTTCCAACACCACAACTGGTGCCACGACCCGGGAACAGATTGTGACCATTGTGAACTGTTTGTATGGCCTTCCAGTTTACGAGCTACCAAGAGAAGAAGAACAAGAAAAAGACAAGAAACATGGCGAAAGGACAACCGACGGTACCAGTTACGCCTGCCAAGTCTGGCGGGGCTCGCAACGAGAGTTCAAGCCCGGCTGCGCGCTTTGCAGCCGCCACCGAGCTTTCAGTGAGCTTCGACGACGAAGCGGACATCGGTCCTGACGCCCACGATTATGAAGATTACGAAGATAAAACGCCGGCTCCAGAGCCAGGCGCAGCGACGCCGGAAACGGCCACGCTATCATCGGGGCTGAGCGGGGCGACCAGGTCCCTTTCGAGGAACCTCGCCGACGAGCTCGATGATGTTGCGGGACCGGAACCGGCCTATGATGATTATGACGATGGGACCGAGGGTTCTAAGCCTTCGGTGGCGAGTGCAAAGCATTCAGCACTGCTGAAGGCACCTCGCCCACCTATCAACGGTGATACACCAGCCGCCAAGCGCGTTTTCGACCGCGTACAAGCGCTGATGCAGAATGATGAGTGGATGCAGCTGTTCAAGCCCATCCCCAAGAAAAAAGCCGACTGGCCTGCGATTGCGCAGGAACTTCAATACCCAGTCAACTCGGTTTCGACTAGCCAAGTCGCCGAGGATTCAGTTTCGCTACTGCTGTCGCTGGGGTTCGAGAACGAGACGTACCCATCGACGATGTCGCTCCAGGATTGGAGTCCACATGAAGCCGGAGCTGCTCTCCAGAAATGGAAGAAGAAGCTTCGGAAGGCGTTTTGCGCTGTTGGCATCAATGCCGGAAAGCAGCCTGTGAGTCAACCGATGATTCAAGATGAAGATCCGTCTAAGATCCCACTGCCGCCGACGCCCCAACGACTCGTTCGTACTCCTCCGATCAAGCGTGGAGCTGAGCGTGGTGCCTTTGGCACTACCGAAGCTTCACCGTACTTTCAAGACTCGCACATGGTTACGCCACGTTCGGAGAGCCGTATGCAACGTATTTACGCAAGTAACGAGGGTTCGTTCGGTCGCCGAGGCGGTGCGCGAGCTCCCAAAGGTGGTGCCGGACGTCGATAAGTCGACAGCGATGGTTCGTCCAGTGACGATGACATTTTGGTGCGTACATTCGACGAGGAAGATCCTCAACTCGAGTTGATGCGTCAGATGAATGAGCTAGCGACGCTGAACGACGTGGACCCAACACCGAGGATTGAAATGGCTTCGCACCGACCGCTGGATCGCATCACGCCGTTCTCAGGCTCTCGCAACAAGAGCGAGAACTGTATGCAGTGGCTCCGTGGGTTCGTCTATAAAATGACTGGAACCCACACAGATGCCGATAAATGGTGCATTCCATTTGAGCTAAGTCTCCGGGATGGAGCCATTCATTGGTTCCGTCAACTTCCGAAGAAGACGGAGCGCAAGTGGAAGCTGTTGAGCGATGCGTTCATCCGCTACTACTGCTCGCAGTTCACGCAGACGGCACTGTCGCGTTACTACTCCGCCAAGCGGGAACGTAATGAACATCTGTGCGACTACATAAACAGGCTGAATGGCTACGCTCGGACCGCCCGTCTACACTTTGAGAAGAGTGGTCGCGACGCGAAAGAACACTTACAGCAATTCCTGGCAACATGCGACGATGA